GACTTCAGCTTCTGGGATAAGAACCCACTCTTTGACAAAAACTGCTGGGAAAACTGGAAAAGAGTATGGCGGAAACTAGGCATTGATCAAAATCTCACACCATATACCAAAATAAAGTCAAAATGGGTTCATGATTTAGATACAAAGGCTGATACTATAAGCAAACAGAGAGAGCAAGGAATAGTTTACCTTTCAGATCTATGGAGAACAGAAGAATTCATGACCAAACAGGAGATAGAGAACATTACAAAAAGCAAAATGGATAATTTTGATTACATTAGATTGAAAAGTTTTTGCACAAACAAAGCCAATGCAACTAAGATTAGAAGGAAGGTAGAAAATTGGAAAAGAATTTTTACAACCAGTCTCTCTGATAAGGGCCTCGTTTCTAAAATATATAGAGAAGTAAGTCAAATTTATAAGAATACAAGTCATTCCCCAATTGATAAATGGTCAAAGGATATGATCAGGCAGTTCTCAGATGAAGAAATTAAAGCCATCTATAGTCATATGAAAAAATGCTCTAAATCACTATTGATTAGAGAAATGCAAATCAAAACAACCCTGAAGTACCACATCACACCTATCAGAATGGTCAACATGACAAAACAGGAAAATGATAAATGTTGGAGAAGATGTGGGAAAATTGGAACACTAATGCATTGTTGGTGGAATTGTGAAATGGTTCAACCATTTTGGAGAGCAATTTGGAATATACCCAAAGGGCTATAATAATGTCCATACCCTTTGACCCAGCAATAGCACTTCCAGGGCTATATCCCAAAGAGATCATACAAATGGAAAAAGGACCCATATGTACAAAAATATTCATAGCAGCTCTTTTTGTGGTGGCAAAGAATTGGAAATTGAGAGGATGCCCATCAATTGGGGAATGGCTGAACAAGTTGTGGTATATGAATGTAATGGAATACTATTGTGCTATGAGAAATGATGAACAGGCTGACTTCAGAAAAACCCGGAAAGACTTGTATGGTCTGATGCTGAGTGAAGTGAGCAGAACCAAGAGAATATCGTACACAATAACAGCCACGTTGTGCGATGACTAATATTGGTAAACTTAACCCTTCCTGGCAATACAAGGATCTAAGACATCTCCAGAGGCCTAGTGATGGAAAATGCTATCCACACCCAAAGAAAGAACTACGGAATTTGAATGCAGATCGAAGCATACTATTTGCTATTTTTTTTTCTCTTATGTTGAGTTTTGTTTCCTCTTTCTGGTGGTTCCTCCTATTGGTTCTAATTCTTACTTACAACATCACTAATGTGAAAATGTTTAATATGAATGTAAATGTATAGCCTATATCAGATTGTGCGCTGTCTTGGGGAGGGTGGTGGGGAGGAAGGGGGAGAAAAATTTTAAACTCAAAAACATATGGAAGTGATTATTGATAAATCAAAATAAATTAATAAAAAAGAAAAAAGAAAAAAAAAAAGAATATTGCACAGGCACTAAGGACTGGACCCTTATTGATCAGCATGCTCCCTCCCTCCCCACCACCCACTTATACTTGTAGGGTCAGGCCAATGAAGGTCAGGTCCTCCTGTCATTAAAAATAGATGTCAATAAAAAAGTATTTCTTGAAAAAAAAAAAAGTTGGTCATGTCTCCTGAGTCCAGACTCAGTATTAAGAAACCAGATATTTCTCTCTCCTTTTTTCAAGTTTATTTTATTAAAATATACAGTGACTGAATATCAAGTAAGTATTGTGAACAGGAGCAGTCTCCTCCGGCTGCAAGTGAGGAAGGTGTAGACACCAGAGTCTAGGCTCCTGCCAATCGCACGTGCAGCCACGCCTTATACTACACACACACACACAAAGGAGCGTCTCGTGCAAATCCGTGGGCCCTGGGGCTGGCCACTCAGCAGTGGGAGCCCCTAGGAGGGGGACCAGGGTGGAAGAATTCCCAGCAGGCTGCTGGCTCCTGGAAGACAGACTGGCCCTAGGGCTTAGAGATGCAGGGAGAGAGAGTGAGAGGAGGGAGCAGAATGGGGCTTGATGAAGGCGAAAGGACACACAGGGACTGAGAATGGCTAAGAGAGCCCCTCTGCGGTTGTGGGGAGAAAGGCTCAGAATGTGGACTGGAGACCGAGGAGGGAGGGGAAGATGTGAACCTAGAGAAATGACAGGGAGACCTGGGGTTGTGTTGGTGAGGAAGGTAACAAGAGGCTGAACTGAGCTCAGTTACTGAAGTCCCCTTTGGGGTACTCTTTCCCCTGAGTGTACATCAGGTACGAGGCCTAGGAGGGCTGTGCTTTGAACCAAAACTACTTGTCTAACTACCAGGACCACCATGGCCCTGCATTTGGTGTGGTGAGCACAGAGCCAGGCTGAGTCTGGAGGACAAGTGGTAGGGCTGGGAACCCCCCTGCAGTGAGGGGGAAGCAGCAGGACGTGGGGCTCTGAACTGCTGGGGCTGGGGCCTGAGAGAGGAGGAGAAGCTGTGGAGCAATGGAATGTATCTAGTTGGAATGTTCCTTGGGGGTGGCAGCTGTGGCCCTCACACCATGAGCAGTTTCGATTCCCCATTGCACTTTCTTAGTCCCTAAAAATCAGATGCTGGCTCTGAGACCCTACAGAGCCAGCCAGGTTCCTCTTCCTGGGGAGGAAAAGGTTACAGAAAGGTTTCTTCCGCTTCCTATGGGGTACTTGATCAGAAATCACACTGGTTTATCTTGAGGTCATTCAGCAGTGGATTGTAACTACCACAGCAATCCAAATTATTTTAACACCCTGGTAGTATTAATTACCCTTTAAACTTAGAGAGCCAGATGTAGTATTTAAATGAATCCTATACAGCCTGTATAAACCTATATCCAATCCTCTTATTACACATCAGATGTTTGGGGTAAAGGAAGGAGGTAAGGGATGGTTTGAGCCTCTTCTCTTGAAGGTTTCTGGCAACATGGTCTCCCAGACAAACAGTGCCCCTGGGCTCTACTCTTTTACCCCTCCCTGAAAATCACAATGGCTGTAGGTGGCCAGTCTGACTCTTGAGGACTGGTCAATACAAATGTAGAACCTGCCTGGTTGTCACTCATTCAGGAGCAAGGAGTTTGTGCTTTTGAATATCACCAGGGAGGGGAAGGAATTAAGTTCCTATTTTTCTGAGATACAGGACTCATTCCAGGAACTCTCTTTCCCACTTCTCCCAGTTGTTGGGGAAGGGGGGAAGGGAGGGGAGGGCACCAGGACAAAAACTTGTAACAAAAACCACCAGGGAGAGAACGGGACAGCCTTCTCTTGGAAAATAGAGGGTATCTAATGATCAGTCTCCTTGGAAGGAGTCTTGGCGTTGGCAAAGTTCTCACTTGTGGGCCTGCAATTAATGTTTGTGCTTTTTGAAGAGGTGTGGGACAGCCAGTTATCCTTATTGCTGTAGGTGGGCGTGAGGGGACAGAGGGTCTCATAGCTGTCTCTTTTTGGAGACTAACAGGCTAGTTAGCCTAGATAACCTAGAAGGTCACATTCAGCTCTAAATCCTACCGGTATGTGTCTGTCTTCTTCTGGGGAGGGGGCTCCTAGTCTTCCAGCAACTAGTCTGAACCAGCTGAACCCAATCCCCACCTCCACCAATCCCTGAGCTGTACTAGCTACCCTCTGTCTGCCAGAGAAGAAAATCCAGACAATTTGTTAATTCAAGTCTGAGCTCCCTAACCCAGTGGCACATAACAGACTCTGCTCTTTGAGCCAGAATGAAGGATTTCCCTTCCTTATCCTGGGGCAAGAGTGGAAGATGGTTATCATTAAGATTCTATATCAAGTAGACCCCAGGCCCTGAGTTTGGAAGGCTGTTCCTTTCCTGGGGTGGCAGAGTGGATAGGATTCTCCTCTCTGCAGTCCTGGTTGCAAGGGTTGCACCTTTTAGCTAAGTGCTTCATCATAGTCTCTGACTCACAGGCATCCTCCGTCTGTCCTGAGCTTAGCGGCTATGAAATTCCTGTTTTCTCATGCAGTTCTAGCTGTTGTGAGTGACTTTCCAGAAGGCAGGAACAAAGCTTTTCTTTTAACCAAAACACACCCTGCCTGCTGCCTCCCAACTTGCTGAAGAATCAGCAAAAATAAGACCTCCCAGAGAAGCAGATTACTTCTCCCTTCTTCATGACTTCCCTCCTGGCAGCCATGAAACCCCCAAGCAGAGGACAAGCTGGGCCATCTTTCCAAGCAGGGGACAACGCACTCCTACAGTGACAGCTGATCTAGAATGGAAACAGGACAGAATAGCTGCAGCCTGAGGAGGCAGTATGTCATCAGGGGAAAAGAACAGTGGATCTGGAGTGAGAAGCCTAGGGTTTGAATCCTGGCTCTGCTACTTACTAGCAGTTTGACCTTGGTCAAATCACTTCCCTTCTTTGGGACTTAGTTTCCTCACCTGTAAAATGAGGAGGGTTGATTTAAGTGGTCTCTAAAGGCTCCTAACAGCTCTATGATACTATCCTAATTAGAAAGAAGAGGAGAGAGCTCAACAGATAGCTGTGACCCATTGATGCAGGGTCGCCAATTTTGTCTCAAGAGCTGAAAGACTGGAAAAGGGGTGTGTGAACTTAATCCCACGGCCTCCAAGGGCTGCAGAGGAGCTGTTGGCCTCAGGAAAAGAGGTGACTGTGCTGTCTGTCCTCTGGGGGAATTCAAGCCCTTTTCCTGGTAAAACCCAGTTGTCCAACGGAATTGGGGAATACCTCCCTAATCAGGCAGAAGGTACTACGGATTCTTTTTGGAAATGTGCAGATTTCACCCAGTCCCTGAGACATAGGTCCTCCTTGGGGAAGTGGACTGAATAGATGACACTCTATTACCCACAAGATACCATCTCCTAGTCTTCCTAGTAGGAGAGAAAAGTTGGTACATGTGATACTCAACCCAGATCTTCTCTCTCTCTCTCTCTCTCTGTCCTTCTCTGTCCTTCTGTCTCTTTCTCTCCCTCTTCAAGCCTAGGGGAATCTTGTGTATGTGTGTAGCAAACTTTTAAACTTTTGTTGTTTTTTTTTTCCTTTTTTTTGTAAATTAGTAAAAAAAAAAAAGTTTCTTGTGATGGTGGCGCCTGTCAGTGTGGAGGTGGCCTTCTGAGGCAGAGGCTGGGGAGGGTGGCAGCTGAATCCTTCTCCCTTCTAGATCACATTCTCAAATAACTGCATGGAACTCATGATGTTTTCATCCTATTTGGAGTAAGAAAGAAAAAAAAAGGAGAAAAGGGGACATTGTGAGGAGCTATCCAGCATGACAGTAGAATTCATTGTAAACAGATTCTAGGAACAGTTACAGAAATGATAGTGATTAGGTAATTTAACATAAATTAACTTCATCATGCGAAAACATAGATTAAAAAGGAGTTTAGAGTTTACTGGGTCATGTGAGGAGAGGAGGGGCTGCCTGGCTGGAAAAGGTTCTGAGGCCAGTTGATATTGATTGGGAGAGAGGCTTCCGGTACCCTTTTCTCCAGAGATCTGTCCAATATCCCAAAGGTCACAGTCACAAATAAACCACTGCACCCAAAGGAACTGTGTCCAATTCTACATACAAACCTTTTCTTTGCCTGAGAGCATGAATGGAGGATTTGGAAAGCTCTATGATGCCAGGACTTTGGTGCAGAGGTAGGGGCAGGGGCAATAGCAATGGGCCAGGAAGAAATGCCAGGCTTGCGAGACTCTCTAAAAGATCCCAGGAACTGACTCCAAATAGGACGAACCCAAGTGAGGTGAGGGCCAGGAATGGACCCAGACCTAAATAATGCCTGTAAGTAGACTCTCTAGGCTGTTCTCACTTAGCCTGAGCTCTGAGAGTTTAGACTCTTACTGAAGTGAGTCCTAAGAGAATCACAGCAGTCCTAGGTCAAGTTCTTGCCTAAGAGTTGATTATTAATGTCTCTCGGAAGGAGAGGGGACAGGATAGAGCCTTTCTGAGGACCCAGACTGAGCAAGATGCTCTGCAACCTTCCCAAAGGAAAGATAGGGGTGGGGAAGATATGGAAGAAGAAAAGAGAAATCCCCCCAATATTCTTATTTCCCTGGATCCTCAGAAGGGGGAATTTCTAAGCAAGAGGAATCTAGCCTCTTGCTATGTCCCTGGCTAGGCTGAAGAGGGAAGGAAGCTCACCTTTTGACAAGTCTCTAGGAATTCTTCAATGGTTACCACTCCATCCTGATTCCTGTCCATTTTCTGAAACACATGCATATCCTTCTTTAGAAATCAGTCAAATCCAGGAGCAATCCCCTAATTATACCTTAAACTATGGGAAACTCACTTAGCCAAGTTCTTCCTTCCTTCCTTCCTTCCTTCCTTCCTTCCTTCCTTCATTCTTTCCTTCTCTCTCTCTCTCTCTCTCTCTCTCTCTCTCTCTCTCTCTCTCTCTTCCTCTCCCTCTCCATACAACATCACTAAGTTCCTCCAATATGAAGGCATTATGTTAGGCACTCATCTATCTGAAGAACATCCTCAGGCCTGAGTCCTTCCTGTTGTCACTGATTTAACATTTTTCAAGCAGGTACTGGAGACCATACCACTAATTTTAAAAAGATGCTGTCCTGTTGGCAACCTCTGGAGACCCTGGCTTTCCTGGGCCACTTTTCCCATCACCTACCTCCCATCCCAATGTAAAATATTCAATGATACTTCCCCCTCTCCACTTTTCTTTCTTCTGGCCTCTCTCCCTCTTACCTCCTGGCTTCACCACTGACCTTTCCTACAACTTCCAAATCTGCCTCCTCAGTCTCCCTCTCTCAGGACCAATTCTAGGTAATAAGAATAATGCCTCATATTTTGTATTTTACAAAGTGCTTTCATATTCCTTATTGGTCTTCACTTTCAAAGCAGTTATCTGAGGTAGTCAAGGCAGGTATTATTATCCCTATGTTACAGTTGAGAGATCCGAAACTCAGAGAGGTTAACAGACTTGCCTATGGTTCTACAGCAAGTCAGCAGCTTCACTAGAACAAGAACTCAGGTTTCCTTGAAATTGTGACTGATCTCCATCTCTAACCCGGATGGTTCCACTTACTTTTCACCACTCCTTGCTCTCATCTCAAGCAAAAGTCAGTTTTCAAATTCTTTCTTATTCTTAAAAATTTGTAAATTTGTTTAGATCTGGAATAGATGTTAGAAATCATCTGGTTCAAGTCTCATTCAGTTCATTTATGAGGGCCAAGAGAATCAAAATGATTTGTGTAAGGTTACACAGATATTTAATGGGGCTGGGGCTGGATCCTAGAGCTCCTGACTTCCAGGTTAGTGTTCTTTCCTCAACATCCCACTGCTTTTCGTGGAGTTGCTTCCAAAGTCTGAGGGCCATCTTTGGGAAAGAAAGGCAAAGGGGAATAGAAATGGAAGAGGACCAGCAGTCTCCGTGTCAACAGGTAACAGCTCCTTACAACATTTCACATGAGGGGTGGTTTCAGGCCATATCTGCTATCCCCTTGTCAGGACTTTGCCTCCTCAGGAATCCTCGCTAAGAAATCACACACTTGGCCCCATAACTGAGAGACTCTTACGCTCCTCTCCATGTTTTCTGATTTCTGGTCGCATCACATTTCCCAGGAGCTGGGATGTTACCTGGAAGAACCTTTCCACATGCTCCAATGGGGCTTCTTCCCTCAGGATGGGGTAGGTGTGACGACCCATCATGTCATAAATGGATTTCATGATGGCCAGCATCTCCTAGGATGAGGAACAAGGTAGTGGTGAGGTCTGGGGCATCCTGGGGACTCTCCTATATTGGGGAGGAGGGAACAGAAAGTCTAGAGAACTAAGAAGGGACCTTCATTTGGAGATTGTTTCAGTGCTTCTGGTAGTACTCCACATTTCCATACTTCCAGAATTCCACACTTTCTTTCTGCAACAGAAGGGACAATGGCAAGGGCCCTGTGGACTATCAGGAAAGTTACTTCTTTAAAGGAGCAGCTGCTAATGACCTATCAACAGCTTGGCTGACAGGCCAAATGTCACTGGGCTCACGCTCAAAGCCTTTCAGTTTGGGAAGACCCACCAGGTTTTATCCTCCTCTGGCACAGCCTTCAAAAACACTGAATCATCTCCATAATGTGGCATCAGAGTAGGGATTTATCCAGCTTCATCTGAATAAGGAATTAAAAACTAAAGCCAAGTAATTCACATCTCCTACTCTTTTACCCCACAGAAGAACCCAAACCAACCAGTGCTTCAGAATCAAACAAACTGAGACTCTAAAGCTGAGAATCTCCTTCATTAGTAGAACTGCACATTTAAACAAACCACCTGCCTCACCTTGACTCTGGGCCAATCACAGACCAGAATCCTTACACCTGCCCTCATTCTACCGACCAATGCAAATGTTTCTGATCCCTCTGTTCCCCACCTCCCATTCTTTACCACTTGTAAGCAGGTACCTCTTTTGTGATGTATCCATCCTTGTTAATATCATAGAGATTAAAGGCCCATTTCAACTTTTCGTGGACTGTTCCTCGAAGCAAAATTGAGAGACCCACCACAAAATCCTGTCCAAAAAAATGGAGAAAAAAAAGAGCATTGGGCTGAAGGCAGTTGGATTTTGTTAAGAGGGGATTACTGGCAAAAATATGAGATTAGGGAGTGGACCTGTGATTTCACTGGTACTATATAAGGAACTTTCAGATGAAGAAATTCTTTTTACCAATGTAGATTAGCATCTTCTCTGAAACTTCTTATCTTAGAGAGTTGCTTAGAATCGCAGGTTAGGTAACTTGCCCAGGGTCACACAGCCAGTATGTGTCCAGGGTAAGACTTGAACCCATATTTTCCATACTATCTATGGTAGTAATAAAAATATCATCAAAGCTCACTAATTTAGACTAATTTGGGGTGATTGATACCCTGATGTGAAAAGGCTAAATGATAGAATATTTGGGGGAAGTACAATTTTTATTATTTTCAGGTCCAAATTATAACTAGAACTAAGCTAACAATGGCTTGCTGAGTAGAGGTCTTACAGGACCTGCTTTAATGAACAGGGCTGTTTTATTGAGCAAGCATTTTATGATCTGAATCCTAACAAAAAAAAATGCCATAAAAAAAATTAGAAGAGAAGCAGATCATATACCTTTCAGAGCTTTGGGGGGAGGTGAATTCTAAGCCCAAAAGGGATAAAGGAAATTCTAAATCAAAAAGGGATAGAGCAAAAGATAAAATAGATAATTTTGATAATGTGAAATTGATCAGCTTCCGCACAAACAAAATCAATGCAACTAGGATAAGAATAGAAATAGTTAACTGGAAAAAAAAAATAAGCATCTGATATTGAAGATATAAAGACAACTAACTATATATGAGACCAAACGCCTTTCATCAATAAATAAGTGGTCAAAGGATCTGGACAAAGTTTTCAAAAGAAGAATTGGAAACAACAGCAGCATATGAAAGATTGCTCTAAATCAGGCCTGCCCAGGAAAAATCCTCTACATTTTCCGTGGGCCGCCCAAAATCCTTTGGTGGACTGCAGGTTGTGCAGGCTTGTGCTAAATCATAATATTAAATCATAATATTAAGAAAAATGCAAATCAAAACAACCCTAAGATTCACTTCATGTGTAGCAAACTGGCAAAGATAACAAAAGATAAGAATAGTAAGTAAGAATAGTAAATCCTAGAGAAAATATGTGTAAAGATGGGCACACTTAAAACATTGATGGCCTTGGCTTTTTCGATGCCTGATCAAGCTCGAAGAGCTCCACGGTGCCTGCGTCAGAAGCAGTATTACAGGAGAAGGAGTAGGGATATGCTACACCCTCATTTTCTGAATTGTCCTCTTGCTACCATTATTCAGCAACTTCTCTTCTTTTAGCCTCTCTCCATCCAACTTTATCACCTATCATCATTTACTCCAGGTCATTCCTTTCTCCAGGACTTCAGAACCTACTCACATTCTTCTTCTCTACTCCAACCTTTGCCCTTATACCTGGACACTTCAACATACATAGTGATGCTCCCTTGATACCCTGGCCTCCAACTTCTTCAACTTCCTCAACTGCCATGACCATCATTTTCATTTCATCTTAGTCACATGGGGATCTTTCTATTGATCCAGAATTCTGAAACTCCTCCATCCAGCCACAATCTCCTATCCTACCATCTCTCTGCCTTACCCCTCCTAAACCTATTCCTCATGCCCATTATCAATCCTTTCGCTCATCCCTGTTCTCCCACTCCATTACCCTTTCCCTGGCTTTACTTGCTCTCTCTTTAGTCTAGACTCTTATATTATCAATTATCCTTGAATCCCTTGCCACCTTATTCTATTGCCAGTGCTGTTTGGCCAAACTCTGATCCTGGGTTATCCTTACTGTCTGCCTTCTCTATTCCTATGCATTCAAATGCTGCAAAAAGCCTTCTTTTCATTGCATGGGGGGAGGGGTGCGGGGAGAGAAACATGCAATTGGGTTCACTACAAATTTAATTTATCCAATTTCAACTGGACCCTCTCTGCTGCACTAAAAGAATGTAAATATACCTGCCTCTAACTATTTCTAACTCATTTCCTCAGAACTCCTTCCCAGTGGCAAAATCTATCATTTTTATAGCCTGGTTTCTTAAAACTATGATACCACAATACAAAAAAAATCGCAGATTAAATAACATAAATGAAATTAAATGGGTTGCTTCAGGAAGTTAGAATATATATTCTATATATATGCAGAGAGAGAGAGAGGAGAAATAGAAGGAGGAGAGGGAGAAAGAGTCCTGTGATTACAAAAGGACGAAATCCCAATCAGAAGGTCCCTGTACCAATGCAGGTCATCACCTTCTCTGCAGTTTATCTATTCATGATCTTAAATTGTCTGAGGCAATGACAGGTTAGGTAATTGGCCCAGGATCATAAAGTCAGTATGTGTCAGAGGCAGGACTTTAACCCAGACCTTTTCAGGCCAGATTGCTTCTCTGATGTATCTATCCACTGCCTCTTAAAGGCAGTGTGATGTAGTGAATAGAGAGTCATGAAGACCCGGATTTGAGTTCCTCATCTGCCATATACTGTCTGTATGACTCTGGGTAAATCCTTCCCACTGCATATCACTGGCTGGGAGTTCAACACATTCTGTTGTTGTTCAGTCATTTTTCAATTGTGTCTGATTCTTTGTGACTCAATTTGGGGATTTCTTGGCAAAGATACTGGAGTAGTTTGCCAATTCCTTCCCCAGCTCATTTTACAGATAAAGAAACTAAGGTAAACAGGGTTAAGTAACTTGCCCAGGGTCATATAGTTAGTAAGTGTCTGAGGCTGGTTTTGAACTCAGGTCTTCCTGACTCCAGGCCCAGCACTCTATCCACTACACCACCTAGCTGCCTTTGACACATTCTAGGCACCTGTATAAGCCTACAAGTTGCAGAGAAGGTGTTGACCTACATTGTTAGTGGGGATTTCTGATTCCCAGGATAGTACAGGGCTCATTCCTCTACTTCACAAACATCACTCGATGGTAATGTGATAGTGCCTCCAGAACGCCTGGAGCTGGCTAGTAATATTAAAAAAAAATGTTTTTTGAAGCATTATCGACATTGTTATTATTAACACCACCACCAATCCAGAGGTTTTTCAAGTCAAACATGTTTGCTTTGCCTCTTTCCCATTAACTGCCCTTGAACCTCAGAAAGCTGAGTCTGAGGCAGTATCGATCCCGAGACTCTCAGCGAGGTTTTCCTCTTCGTGATGAGGTTTGAGCTTTCAGCTGCAGCTATTTTTAGAGGCCTGGAATCCACCAAACCAGGGGCCTCTTTGAAACAGACCTCCATGACTGGCCAGGGCGGGAGCCCCAAGCAGAGCAATTCTGTACTCTCTCCTAGGGGCAGGCTTCTATTTCCTGGCAGGACTCAGAACCTGGGCTTCATTCCACAGGTCCCCAAGTGAGATGACCCTTTGAATACAATGCTTGTGTGTTATGCTGAATCTAGGGCAGTCTTACTTGGATAGTGATGTGATCTGAAGGGCTCAGACCCACCCAAATATCAATTGGTGCCTAAAATTTCACCATGAACAATTCATTTCTTTGGTCATGCCTCTTTTAAAATGCAAATATAGATGAGGGGTGGGGGTGGAAGGGGAGTAATATGTTAGGTGCAGCAAAGTGGCACGGTGGATAGAGCTCTGGATTCAGTCCCAAGTTGAAATCCCCTCTCAGACATTTACTAGCTGTGGAACCCAGGATAAGTCATTTAACCTATGTTTGCCTACGTTTCCTCAACTATAAAATAGGGATAATAATAGCACCTACCTCCCAGGGTTTTTGCGAGTCTCAAATGAGACATTTGTAAAGCACTTAGCACAGTGCCTGGCACCTAGTAGGTGCTTAACAAATGCTTGTTTCCTTCTTTCCTTCCTTAGATCATGAAAAAAGTAGTCTGGAACCCCAACATAGTGGCCCCCTATGTCCAACAGACCACTGCCTACTACCCTACGCTATTGAGCTTTCCAACATACTCACATCTCCCAACTACACCCTGCCATCCCCTTGAACTATCATCTCCCATTCTCAGCCACACTTCTAGAAAAAAGCCATCTGCACTTGCTGGGGGAGTAGACAGAGTCAGGGCTAGAAGCAAAGCAATACAGTAGGTTTTTAGCACCAGCCCACCTCCACTAGGAAGAGACTGTACTGAAGCATATTGGTACCTTCTCTACAACTTACATCCTCAGAGTTGTCCAGGGCACTGCTGGAGGTGAATGACTTGCCCAGGTTCAGCTAGGCAGTATGTGTCCAAGATCAAGACTAAATCTAGGTCTTCCTGACTTTGAGGGGAGCTCTCTACCCACGAAGCCACATTGCCTCTTTTCAGGAAATGATTGGTGTAAAAAATAAAAGGCTTGTTTCTTTTCATCAACAAAGCTTTTTTTTTTTTTTTTAAGAATGCTGAAACTTTTATGCAGTAGCAAAGAAAAAGGATCAAAGCAGACACCTATCAATTGGAGAATGAATGAACAACCTGGTACATGATTATAATGAATGTTATTGTGTAATAAGAAATAACAAATATGAGAAATTCAGAGAAATGTAGGAAAATATGTTCAGTTTAATTGCTTTTCAGTTGTGTCTGATTCTAAATGACCCCATTTGGAGTTTTCTTAGCAAAGATACTGGAGTGGTTTGCCATTTCCTTCTCCAGCTCATTTTACAGGTGAGGAAATTCAGGCAAACAGGGTTAAGTGACTAGCCCAGAGTCCTACAGCTAGCAAATGTCTGAGACCGGATTTGAATTCTTCCTGACTCCAGACCCAGCGTTCTATCCACTGTGCCACCTAATTGCCCTATGGAAGACTTGTATGAACTGATAAATAAGCAGCAACAGAAAAATATACATAATGACTATAGTAACATGAACGAAAAGAGCAATAAAATGAAGCAAAGAACTGTTATTATAAAAGCCAATGCTGGCCCAGTAAAAAGAAGATTTGAAATTAGAGGACTTGAGCTAATTTCTGCTTTCTAGCTATGTGATCCTGGGCAAGACATTTAAACCGACCAGGTCTGTTTTCTCAAATTGAGAGGGTTAGACTCAGGAGTGTTCTAGTAAATGTTTAACAACCAGTTCTCCAAAAATGTATGTACAACACACTTTTAAGTTTAATCTTCACTATTAGCCTTTTCTCTACCATTTTCTTAAGTCTAGATAATCAATAAAAACAATAAATTAAGCCTTGATTTGTGGCATTTGAGGATTTCCAAGGCGTAAATGCTCACACTGAAAATTTAATAACCTGTTCCAGTGAGCAGGTTTTGGCCGGCTCTAGCATGCCCCTGGTTAGGGCTAGATGACTTCTGATGTCCCGTTCAGCTCTAAATATATCGTCCTTTGATTCCTGAAAGGCGGGAGATCAGAGATGTGGAATTTTGGAAACTCTAACATCATTTTTGCTTAGCGGTTTTCTCACAAGGGGCCAGTAGGAAAGGGAGTATCTGTAAATGATGATGATGTAAAAACAAAAGGCATCCATAAAAATGTAAAAAAAGAAAGAAAGAATTCTTTCTGTGGTGTTACTTCTCCTGTACACTTCCTCTGGGTGAAGGCCAATGAAAACAAGTTAGAGTGAGCTGGCGAACTTAAAAATTTATCAACAAGGCTTAAAAGACAGCATTTCTAATGAGCTGAGGACCGCATTCCATTTGTTATCACAAGCTTCTAGGTCACAAGGTATGGGAATGAGCCCACAGCATGTACAGCTTGTAAGTTCTTTCTTAGGGACACGGCTTCCTGTTCATCTCCGAACCTCCAGAGCAGATGCAAGGACCTGGGGTTTGTGTGCCTTAGGGAGATGACTGGTCAGACAAAGGCCAAAACAACACAGCCATAACAGCAGACGGCCCAATTCCTCTTTCCACTCCCCAAGATAGGGAGGGAGATGGAAGAGTGAAGAGGGCTGGCTGGTGGTTGAGGGATTTAAGTTAGACCAAAGGAAAACTGTCTTCCCAGTGAGAATCTTATTCCTCCTGTTTCCTGTGGGACTTCAGTCGTATAACAACGTTTTTGGGCCTCAGTTTCCCATGCTATAATACGAAGAGGTTTGCCTAGACTAGGAGTGGGGAACTCATGGCCTCGACACCACATGCGGCCCTCTAGGTGCTCGGGTGTGGCCGTTTGACTGAATCCAAACTTCACAGAACAAATCCCCTTAATAAAAGGATTTGTTCTGTAAAACTCGGACTCAGTCAAAAGGTTGCACCAAAGGACCTAGAAGGCCACATGTGGCCTAGAGGCCACAGGTTCCCCATCCCTGGCCTAGACCATCTATCTCTATAACCTTGTCCGCTTCTAAATCTATGCTCCTATAATGAGTAGAGGGTGGCTAGTTACTAGAATAAGGAGATGTGATACCCTTTGGAGATTTCAAAAGATAGAGAGGATAAGGACTGTGATGTTACTGGTATAGGGAATTCCCAATGAAGGGTAGCTAGGTGGTACAGTGGATAGAGTGCTGGGTCTGGGTCAAGAAGACCTGAGTTCAAATCCTGCCTCAGACACTTACTAGCTGTGTGACCCTGCTGGGCAAGTCACTTAACCCTGTTTGCCTCAGTTTCCTCATCTGTAAAATGAGCTAGAGAAGAAAATGGTGAACCATTGTAGTATCTTTGCCAAGAAAACCCCAAATGGGGTCATGAAGAATCAGACATGACTGAAACAACTGAACAACAACAAAAATGAAGAAACTTCATCTGCCAAAGCAGGTCAGCACATTCTATGAAAATTAAAAAGAGTTGCCTTGGGCACTGAGGTTAAGTGACTTACCCAGGGGTCACACAATCAGTTCGTGTCAGAGACAGGATTTGAACCCAGGTCCTTCTGGCTCTGAGGCCGGCTCTCTATACACTAAATCGAAGCTCAACAAATTACAGCCTGAGGGCTAAATCCAGTGCATGCGGTCTGTTTTTGTAGGACCTTCCCACTAAGAATGGGTTTTTACACTGTTTTACATTTGTGAACAAAGCTTTATTTAAAAATATAAAAAAATTCTTAACTTGGGATATAAAAAAACAAGAGAGGGAGGGGGTGGTGTAGATTTGGCTCCACTAGTCAAAGTTTGCTGACCCCTGCACTAAATCACAGAGTCAGAGAGAAAGAGACAAAGAGAGAGAGAAAGACAAACAGAGAAACACAGACAGACGGAGGCAGAGAAACAGACTATAGCTATCTATAGATAGATAATTATACTTTTAAATAGATTAGATATGACGCTACTCAGAGGCAGGCAGATGAATAAATCAGTGTAATCAACCAATGTATATTGTGTGAAATATTTAGACTCTCTGTCTCGGGCTGCTCTGCCTGCCCAGCCCCAGCTCAGGGAGCAAGGATGAAGAAGGGAGCTTTCGGAAGAAAGGAGGTACAAGGAGATGGATGAACAGGAGGCTTTAGGGTTTGTTTGTTTTTTGTTTTTTTTTTTGTTTTTTAGTTTATTATTTTAAGCAGTGAAAACAAAATTTGGGCCTTTGGTTTTAAATTTTTTGTAGATGAAGAAGAATTTGCTTCAGACCAGTATAGATCTGGGCACTGACAGTTGGGAGACACTGGCTTAGGTGACTTCTCAGCCCTAGGACGGTCTGACTCAGTAGATCCATTGTGATCACTGTGGCTGGGCTGCCCCTCTCTCCACTAAGATATAGTAAGTGTCCAGTATACCAGAGGCTGACAAGTTTCTTGACCTTCCAGTCTCTGGAAAATCAAAAGGTTTTTTTTTTTTTCCACTAAATCCTTGGTTTCTTTGGTACAGGGAACTCTGAGAAATTTCCTTCACTATGCAAAATCAGAACCTTCTCTGTAATTTATCATCTTAGCAAGTTGCAGGTGGAGCTAAGAGGTTCAGAGAATTACTCAAGGTCAAACAGTGGGACTCAAGTCATGGAGAATAAATTCTTTAAATGAAAATCTTAATATAATCAGATAAAAAAATGTGTGCCTTTTGAGGTGCAAAAAGATATGGTAAGGACTTGGGCCTGACTCTGAGGCCAGCTCTATCTGAGCTGCCTTAGATTGGCCAAGGTGACCAATAATATGTTAATATACAGTTATCTCTTCCACATCACTGGGGTTAGGGGTGCAGAGCCCCCATGATCTGAAAAATCCTTGTAAAATGTTTTGGCCCTCCATACCAGAGAAGAAGTCTGAATTATTATAGTATTACAAGATAAAATAAGTTGATATTATACAATACTATTCATATATTTTATACATTCCCGAATTTCTAAACATTTTCTGTGTTGTCTGCTGGCCTTCACACCTCATCTGCGGCTTTCACAAAACTCCCCCAAAAATTCCTATTTAATTTCTTACGCCGACCCACAATATATCAAAACTGTAATGGGGAAAGTCAAGATAGGGAAGGGATAATTGTAGTGCTCTAAGGTTTGCAAAACACATTCTTCACAAAAAACCTTGTGAGGTAGTTATTAGGAGGGGAAGAGGGAAGGGAACAAGCATTTATTAAGCACCTACTATGTTCCAGACACTGTGCTATGCACTTTACAAACATCTCATTTGATTCTTGCAACAACCTTGGGAGGTGAATGCTGTTATTATCTCCATTTTGCAGTTGAGGAAACTGAGGCAGACAAAGATTTTAGTGACTTGCCCAGGATCACACAGCTAATAAATATCTGAGGCTGGATTTGAATTTAGGTCTTCCTGACTCCAGGCCTGGCACTCTATTTACTAAGTCACCTAGTTATTTAGTGGTACAAGCTATTTCTAATCCATTTTACAGATGAGGATACTGAGGCTCCTCTGTGAGCTTAAGTCCATGGGCCAGAAGACTGTAAGTTCCTCGAGGGCAGAGGCTATTTCACTTTTGTCCTTAGTATAGTGCCTGGCCACCAAGTATCCAAGATGACATTCCTAACTCTAAGACTGAGCTATCTACTATCCAACATGCTGCTTGGAAGTGACCAACTATTACTGGGGATGGTATCTTAGTCAGTGGGCCTCCAAGGAATGTCTCTTGAGGGGAGAGGCAACATAGAATTAGCTGCCTTCTTTCACAAGAGAGAAGAAGGAAGTCTAGGGGGGAGGAGCAGGACCAGAAATCCCTCTAGAGCGGCTGCCAGGGCAGGAAAGCAGGAACAAGGGACCTACCTCAAAGTGAATGGCCCCATTCCCATCTGCATCAAAGGCATTGAAGAGGAAATGTGCATATGTGGTAGCATCTGCAGGGACAGACAGAGGGAGAGGGCTGGTGTTGAGTGCCAGGGACCTACTGAGAGGCCTCCCACCCCCATGCCTTGCTCCCACCAGGAATAGTCCGTGTAGGGCACGCCCAGGGGAAGGGATGCTTCACAGCCTGGAGCACGATGCATGATGGCAGAAAGAATTTAGATCCCTCTGGAGAGAGGGTAGCAAGACTCTGGTCTCAGGCATGGTCTTCCGTGGTACCAGGGTGCTTCAAAACTGACAGTTACAACATTTCTATCACCTCCATGGATGCCTAAATTGGGAGAGCTGCCCATGGAGGGGGTAGCTATTAGATGGCACCAGTGACAAATGTGCCAACAGGTCAGCACTGGCCCCAGAATGTGCCCTGGGTCCTCAGTCAGCCCTTGCTGCAGATGTCAAGGGTAGGTCAGGATGAAGGGGTGGACTTGCCCAGCTTCCTTGCTGCTAACCTGGGAGACAACATGAAACTGAAGGATGAATGTCCCTTTAGCACTAGGGGAATGGAAATAGGGGCAGGGGCTAACGATGTCAATCTTCCTTCTTGACTGGGGAAATGACAGGTTCACAAGTGGAAAACTTACCTCCCTGGGGGAAGAACTGGGAATAGATGAGCTTGAAGGTCTCTTCGTCTACCAAGCCAGTGGGACATTCCTGCAGCAGAGAGTCACCCTTCTTAGCAACAAGGTCCACAGCCCCCACTCCCCAAACCCCAGGAAAGTGAGTGGCAATTCTCCAGCCTTTGTTGTCCCGGACCGCTCTATCATGCCTCACCCTTTTATATGGTGTCTCATCATATACCACCTTCTTTCCTCCCTTTTCTTTCTCTCTTTCTGTAATAACCTCTTGACCCTCCATGAAACTCATCTCATTCAGCTCTGAGGAAAGGACTGTGGGGCAGGGGGAGAAATGGTGGTGCCATGGTTGGTCTCCCCTCCCCAGATTTCTTTGTCCTCCCAATCCCTCCCTAGTTCTACAGCTAAGAAAAGACTTGGGCAACGAGAAGGGGAGATGACCCCCCACACACCATCTAACCCAATGCAACAGTGTTAGAAGTGAGGGGGGACGTGATTCTGTTGCAGCCAATGGCAACAAAAACTCTAAAGCTGGTTACAGGACATGCTAAATTCAACTCTGACTTCATGCATCCTGAGTTCTTCATCGCCACTTTCTTGTCTCAACTCAGAGGTTACTGTAGAGGGAGTCATCCTCAGATCCATATCCCACCCCTGGAGCTCTAGAGATACAGACTATGATGGGCTATCTTCCTTCCCCACTACAACCCAGGAGATACTCACATTCTTGAATCCTCTATACAAAGACTGCAGCTCCTTCTTGGTAAACTTGGTCTGAGCCTGGAGTTGGTCTAACCCCTCAGGCTGGTGGCGAACAGCAGAGAGCTCCAGTTCACTGTCACTACTATCTGGAAGAAGAGAAACAGGCACACAGCTTAGTGAGTGGTGGTGCAGTGTGGGGAAAAGAACAATGGACTTGAGAGTTGGAGGATCCGAGTTCAAATCCTGCCTTTCCCATTTCTGAGCTGTGTGATCTCGGGCAGGCCACAACTTCTATCACTCTTTGTTTCCTTATCTGTAAAATGAGTGGGTTAGATTAGAGGCTCTTAATCTAGGGTCCATAGACCCATGGATACATTTTCAGGGGCCCATGGACTTGGATGGGAAAAAAATATTCTAACCTACAGGTGGGGAACCTATGGCCCCAAGGCCACGTGTGGCCCTCTTGGTCCTCAAGTGCAGCCCTTTGACTGAATCCAAACTGAAGTTTGAAGTGACACTTGAGGACCTAAAGGGCCACATGTGGCCTCGAGGCCACAGGTTCCACACCCCTGCTCTAACCTCTAACTGAAATTTGGTATTTCCTTCTGTTATGAATAGTGGTTAACAAAATACTGTTCTGAGCATGGATCCACAGGCTTCACCAGACTGCCACGGGGGTCCGTGACACAAGAAAGGATAAGAATCACCAGACCAGATGATCTCGGAGGTCATTCTAGCACTGTGATTCTATGAGAGGCCAGGTTCCCCTCGGGAAGTGAAAATATAGAACCGAGAGAAAGAGGGAAGGACATAAGAGTCCCACCCACCCATTCCAAGTCTGTTTATGGGAAACAAGGGTCTAGGACTGAAGCAAGGGGAGAGGCCTTTGATCATGCAATCACCCACAAGTGTTCCATTTCCATGTTCAGGAGCCTCAAAATTTTGCTATCTGATCACCTTTTATCATTCCATGTCCCCATGTGGTTTACTACTCCTAACCCTATCCTTCATTTTCCCAATAATCCTCACTCCCTGTACTTTCTAAAGTGATCACTTCTACTCTAGTGATACCTTCCTTCCTTCCAAATCTTGTCCCCCTTGACCCCTTCAATTTTACACAGCTGTCTATTCTCAAATGCTTTTCTCTCTTGTCCTGTTGTCTTAACACAACTCACACCTTGCCAAACCCCACACCTGGATTACTCCCACCATCCACCATTTCTTTTGCTCCTATTTAGGAACTGCTGAAGGGGGCTGGAAGAAGTCACACAACCATGCTTACTGGGTTCACTACAAATTTATGTTTATATAATCTCACCTAGGATTTCACTGAAGCTTATTCATATTTCTCCTTAATTGATGCTCTATCCCACTCACCACAGGGGCTCTTACAAATCTATTTTCTTCTTAAATGTACCATAGCATCCCCTTCCTCCATTATCTGGACTGTGGACCTTATCTCATACTTTACAAAAAAAAAACTGAAGTCATTCACCTCAAGCTCCTTTTCTCCTCTTCCTCCTCATCTCAATTCCCCCTTACATCATCCCATTACTTTCTCCTCTCCTTTACACCTTTATCTAATGATAGAGATAGCCCCTCACTTTTCCAAGGCCAGTCCTTCTATATGTATGCCCTCAATCCCATCACCTCCTGTCTTCTCTGACAAGTTGCCCCCACTATCATCCTCCCTCTCCCTCTAATGTTCAATTTCTCCCTATCTAATGGTTTTCCCTGCTTCTTAAAAATATGTACAATGTTTTCCCTCATCCTTAAAAACCTTCACTTGAGCCTATCACTTCCGCAAGTTATTGTTCCAAATCTCTCCCCCCCTTCACTAAACTCCTAGAAAAACATATCTATACTTCATTTCCTCTCTTCTCACTCTCTTCCAAGCCCTCTGCAATTTGCGTTCTGACTTCATCATTCAACGGAAATTGCTGTCTCCAAAGTTACCATTTATCTCTTAATTGCCAAATCTAATGGCCTTTTCTCAATCTTCATCCTTCTTGATCTCTTTGAAGCATTTGACATTGTTGAACACCTTTTTTTCCTTAATCCATAAACTCTCTGTCAGGAAGTGGGTAGCAGCATGAGTCCTCTGGAATTATGGTTAGTCATTGAATTAATCAGAATTCTGAAGTATTTCAAAATCGTTGGTCTTTACAATGTTGTTATTGTATAAATTGTTTGCCTGATTCTATTCATTGCACTCTGCATCAGTTCATACAAGTCTTCCCAGGTTTCACTGAAACCATCCCTTTCATCATTTCTTATAGCACAATAGCATTTTATTACATTCATATACCATAATTTGTTCAGTCATTCCCCAATTGATGGGCACTCCCTAGAGTTTCTAGTTCTTTGACACTACATATAAATTGAACAAAACATACAAAAATGCATATACAAATAAATACAAATAAATATTGAACATGAGGGTCCTTTTCCTCTTTCTTTAGTCTCTTTGAGATCTAGGCCTAGTAGTAGTATAGGTAGGTCAAAGAGTATACATAGCTCAGTCAATTTGGGGGCACAGTTCCAAATTGCTTTCCAAAACGGTTCAACAAATTCATAGTTTCACCAATTAATGTAGCTGTTTTCCCATACCCGGCAGGAACTGGGTTTTAGCTTTTCTTTCTATCTCCAAGTACTTAACATGGCAAATAGTAAGTTCTTAATATATGCATGTTGATTGCTGATGGATTATCTTGTTGAAACAACCAGATGGCAGTATGAGTGGTCTGTAAGGGTTGGGATGAAGGGAGGGATGAGGGAGGAAACAGAGGAAAGAGAACACAGGTACCAGAGAGGGCAGCAACATTGCCATAGTGAGCAATACAACAAAGGAAAGAGAAGACAGGTACTGCTCTCTGAATGACCTCTAGGACACAGAGGTCAGACTGCCCTTCAGGAGGAGATGGGCCAGCACAGTTGGAATACTTAGAAACATGACTTTGTCTCTCTGAAGAATAGCCGAGACCCTAAATCAGCAACAATGCTGTGATCAACAAACAAAACAGATGGATCAATCAATCACCAAATATTTGTTGAGCTCCTCCCTGGGTAAGGGCAAATATTTACTGAGAATGGAACAAAGTGTTCACACAGTGATGCTAATGAGAGTGCAGAGTAATCCCTTTCCTTAAAGAACTTAGAAAGGACAAGATTAGGAGTGGGGAAGCTGCAGCCTCAAGGCTCTAGACTGATACTCGACTTAACAAATAACTTCTGAATGTCATACACCTATCTGCATCCCAGCACATTCTAAGCATGTGAAAGTATTACAGAGGGACAGACACCAAGAGCTGCCAGTGTGAATGAAACCAAGGTGGTGCAGTCAGGAAAGCCAGCCAAAGTAAGGTGAGATTTCAAATGACAAGGATAGAATTGATCTAGCAGAGAAGGAATCAGAGACGGATCCATTCTTAAGAAACAGTTCACAAGAAGGTTGAGCAGCTAAAAAAAGAGAACTGCTCTTGCATCGGGCAGAGAGAGGGGCCACGGCTGGGCAGCTGAACCTGACATGAGATGCTTAAGGGACTCTAGTCCCTCCAGTAGGTTATTGTTGTTGTTGTTCACTTGTTTCAGTTGCGTCTGACTCTTCATGACCCCATTTGGGGTTTTCTTGGCAAAGATACTAGTGGTTTGCCATTTCCTTCTCCAGCTCATTTTTTTTTTGTTATTGTTCAATCATTTCATGACCTCATTTGAGGTTTTCTTTTGGCAATGAGTTTGCCATTTCCTTTTCCAGATCATTTTACAGGTGAGGAAACTGAGGTAAACAGGATTAAGTGACTTGCTCAGGGTCACGCAGCTAGTGTCTGAGACCATATCTGAGCTTAGGTCTTCCTGACTTCAGGCTTGGCACTCTATCCACTGTACTACGTATCTGCCCCAGTAGGTTATAGATGAGGTCTGAAAGTCCTATCCTGGTGACTATGACTATGTGAATGGAAAGGGTATTCACCATCCTCCCCTATCTCTTTTGTGAAGGTGAGTCACCCATAATTTTAATTCTTCAGAAATTATATATAGTGTTCCAAGATCACAACCACATAGAATATTTCCAGTGGTGACCTAGGTGCAAGAAATAGCCAATCAGGTATTTTCTTGGGAAATCATGAGACTGGGAAAAGGAGGTGGGACAGTTCTGTGGATAAGAGGAATAGCCTGAGAAGAAATGATAAGAGTATATGATTAAGGGATGGGATGAAGAGGCTTTATGAAATACTGTTCCCAAGAGAATGTAAGCTCTTGAGGGCAGGAATTATTTTACTTCTGTCTTTCTATCTCCAGAGCCTAGCACAGTACCTGACAATAAAATGCCTACTGATAATGTTGAGTCATTTCAGACTCTTTGTGACCCCATTTGGGATTTTCTTGGCAAAGATACTGGAATGGTTTGCCATTTCCTTCTCTAACTAATTTTACAGATGAGGAAACTGAGATAAATAGGGTTAAGTGACTTGCCCAGGGTCATACAGCTAGTAAATGTCTGAGGCAGGATTTGAACTCATGAAGATAAGTCTTCCTGATTCCAAGCCTGATGCTTTACCTACTATGCCACCTAGCTGCCTAGCCTGCTGGAGATTTACAGCATCTACATTGTTATTCCTCAGAGAGACAAAATCATGATTCTAAACCCTCTAACTTTTCTGGCCCATCTCCTCCTGAAGGGCAATCTGACCCCCGTGTCCTAGAGGCTATTTAGAGAGTAGCACCATCTCTTTCTTTGTTCTATCACTCACTGTGGCACTACTGCTTCTCTCCAGTACTTGTGTCCTGTTTCCTTCATTTCCCTACCCCAGTGAATACACACATCAGTGATATCAATGAATATTAAAGTAGAAGGGCCTTGATATGTTGCCGAGCTAATCACCTAGTCCCTAATACAAAAGATCCAGCTTCCATTCTAATTAGTAGTACTCTGAAGAGTAGAACATACTTACAAAGACCTTGCCGGGTTCAGGGACATGCTGGTGTGGCAGGAGACCTTAGAGTCAAGAGACCTGGGTTCAAATCATAGCTTTCCTACTTCCTACGTGTGTGATTATGGCCAAGTCACTTCACCTCAGCTTCAGTTTCAACATCTGTGAAAGTGGAATAAAGCTATTTGCAACCCCAAGGGGTCACTATAAGCAAA